ACTCATCCTCTGGGCTTGTGTGTGGATGAGACAAGGTCTACCTGGTACGACAGCAACATACTTGGAATGCACCCTTGCCGTGGAGGCAGGGACCCGGCAGCCCTATGTGTCCAGCATCAACCTGTATCCAGCATCAACCTGTATCCAGCATCAACCTGTATCCAGCATCAACCTGTCAAGCTCACTAACTTGGTAGGGGTGAGGTTAGGGATCCTTAGGAGCCCAGGCAGCCACACTTTCCGGGGAGCCCTTTCCCATTTGTGTTGCCAAAGTACCCTCAGTAGGTTGTGGGAATGTTGGCTGTGAAGAGAGTCTGTTGGGGTGAGATCTTGTGTGTGTGCACAGGGTGACAGCTGTGTCCCGTTTCCTGGGAAGCTGTGATGGCAGCAGAGCCTGGGGGAGCCTGAGCGAGTGTGAGAGGGTGGGCCTCCGGAAGAGTAGAGGCTGCGGAGCCAGATGCAGGGCTGTCTGTCACCCAAAAGAAGAGGGACTGAGGACTCACTGAGCGTTTGTGTCATAAACGGTGGCAGCAGGCCCCATAGTGAACATACCATACCTTTTCCGTCCTGAGCGATCCTCGCAGCAGTCCTGGGAGGTAGAATGTCCTTATTCAGCTCGCGGGAGGGACCGCCTTAACTGGAGAGACACAGCAAGGTGCTAAAGGTGCCTTCCATCAGAGGCCGGGTGGGAAGCTCTAAAGAGACTTCTTCTCTCCCCCACTCCCAGGTTGTGTGTGTCCCGCTGTGGATTCTCATGTCTTTTCTGTGCCTGGTGGTCCTCTACTACATCGTGTGGTCCGTCTTGTTCTTGCGCTCTATGGATGTGATTGCCGAGCAGCGCAGGACACACATAACCATGGCCCTGAGCTGGATGACCATCGTCGTGCCCCTTCTTACGTTTGAGGTAAGCGTTCCACGGGAAGCCTCTTCAGCCCCTGAAGCTTGCGCTTCCCCTGACAGGATTCTGCACCCCTGGAAAGGCAGCCTCTGTCCGTCAAGCTCACAGTGAGCCCACTCCAGGAGAGGCGAGAGAACACGGCCATCTCTGGGAGGGAGATTTGGAGAAAGGAAAGCATCCTTCCTTTCTCTTGGGGGCAGTGTGTGGGCCTGGCAGGGAGAAGAGTGCACCGTTTTTAGCCATGGTGCCTCTGTATGGCTCCAGTTTCCACTTTGGAAAAGCAGAGTTGGATGCCGGATTTATGTATTGGAGTCACATGGAGAATTCTAGAATGGGAGCTGTTGACTCCTTAGAACAAACACTGGGAAGAGTTTGCCATAAAACTGCTGGCATTGCGAACTTTTCAAGTGGAGAGGCTACTGCTGAGCTCTGAAGAGGGACATAAAAGCTCATTTGGAGTTTTCCCCATGGATGGGTGGTTTCCTGCCTTTTCCTGCGGTGCTGATGTTCCCTCTTCTGGGAGCCCATGCGGGGGTGGGGTGGTGGGGAGGAGCTGCCTAATGAGGTCTGGCTTCCGCCTCTATCCATTTTCGATGTTGGCATCAACAGGGACTATGTCTCTTTAGATTCTGCTGGTTCACAAACTGGATGGCCACAACGCCTTCTCCTGCATCCCGATTTTTGTCCCCCTTTGGCTCTCGTTGATCACGCTGATGGCAACCACATTTGGACAGAAGGGAGGAAACCACTGTATGTACTCAGCATTTGAGAAGTCCTTGGTGTGTGTGTGGGGTGGGACCATGGGGTGGGGGATGGATAGAAGTCTAGGAAGGGATGAGTCTCCGAGGGCCCCAATTTAGAAGCTTGTGTGGGAAAGCGAGGGCTGAGGAAATTCTGGGACCCTCTAAGGGAAGGGCATGCCATAACTCCGGTGTTCCGCTGGCCTGCACTGGGACTTTTCTCGCAGCGCACGCTGCCATTTGAGGTAGAACCAGACAAGGCAGGCAACCTCTCAGAGATCCCGTTCCCTCCTCTGCAAAATGGGGATCAAGATAGATTCTTCCCAGGCCTGTGAGGGTTTGATGGAAAATCCACATCTCCCACCCAAACCCTGGGATTCATCCTAGGTCCCTGTCGGCCCCTCTGCCTCCCCCATATCCTTGCTGCCATCACCTGAGCCTTGCCTGTCTTGCCTTGCTAGCACTCTATTCCCCTCCATCTGCTTGCTGAGGCAGACACTGCCAAAATGATCTCTGCAGAGGGTGCCTTCCTGGCGAGGCTGTGAGCTCCATGGCATGGAAGCCCAGAGCACTGCCCTTCGGAAAGCCAGTGGGTTTGGGGGCCGGGCCTCACTGCAGCCCAGCAGCCCAGGCTATGCTTGCTGTTTGTGCCTCTGCCCCGCCGGGAGCAGGGAGGGCCTGCACCGAGCTGACACTCCAGTAGCACTGGGACTGGGAAAGTGGCTTTAAGGTGGCTCCATGAGTTCAGGCCCCCTCCTGGCCAGGACCCATGCATGACTACTGCCCTCGCAGATTCTAGAGGGTGATGGAAATCTTGTTTTTGGGTGGCACCGTCATCCATGAGTTTATCCTGGCTGGAGAAGATTAGCGGAAGACACCACAGTCTACGCACCACAGATATTTTGAGACTCCCTGGAGCAGTAGTTCTCAAACTTGGGCACCCAGCAGAATCCCAAAAGGGCCAGAAAAAGGGGACCGCTGGAGTCCACCCTAGCCCGACTCAGTTTCTGGAAGTCTGGGCTGGGGCCCGAGAACGGCATCCCTAAATAGACCCCGGGGACGCTGTCCCTGCCAGTCCGGGAACCTCACTCAGACAACCACAGAGCTAGCATTTGTACTTCTCCCCCATTTTGGGTACTCAAGCCCTGTTCAGGCTTTGTGACTCAGGAGTCTGGATAAAGTATATTATGACGTCATAGGAGTGAAACTTCTTGTTATGGAAAGAAAGTTAACAGGAAGGTCAGTTGAGCCTCGTGTGTGAAACAAAAAATTCTTATTTTTCAGGGTGGTTTGGTATCCGCAAAGATTTCTGTCAGTTTCTGCTTGAAATCTTCCCATTTCTACGAGAATATGGAAATATTTCCTATGATCTCCATCACGAAGATAATGAAGAAACCGAAGAGACCCCAGTTCCGGAGCCTCCTAAAATCGCACCCATGTTTCGAAAGAAGGCCAGGGTGGTCATTACCCAGAGCCCTGGGAAGTATGTGCTCCCACCTCCCAAATTAAATATCGAAATGCCAGATTAGATGCCACTTCCGGGGACAGAGCTAAAGTGGACTGTGACGTGCTCTCTCCACCTTCCTCTGCCCCCTCGTTCACCCCACAAACCAGAACCAGTACTGGAGCTGGGTCTCCAGGTACGTCCATCTCATGCCTTGTTTGCATCCTGCGCCTATCAGCCACTCACCACGACGGGACGTGGAAGTGGCAGGTGACAGGGGTGTGTGCCAGCAGATGTGGATGCCAGGAAGAGTGTGAGAACAGGGGCGGGATTTCCATCTGTCTGGGAGGGGCTCCAGGTACCCCTCTTCCTCGTCAGACCCACCGGGGGATGGCTGCTTACCAGGTCCCCAAAAGGAACATCTGTCTACACGGTGCTGAAATCCCAATCAAAAGTGTTGTTTAGAAATGTTTCTCTACGGGGCTGATCTCCTGCAGCTCGCTCAGCACTCCCAGGTCCTTAGCACTCCCAGGTCGTAGCTGGCGCAGTCAGTAGGAACTGTAACTATGTCTCTGATGCACCACGTGTTTAGACACAGCACAGTCCTTTTTTCTGTTCCTACGGTGGAAGTAGTTTCTCTTTGGGCATGCTGACAGCACTTTTTCATAGCCTCACCGATGAGCCCTTTCTGCGGGAGTGACTCCATGCCTGTATACAGAGTATTTATACAAATGTTTTAGCATCTTCATATGCGGTGTTAACCCCTAGTTCTGTACAGCATTTTCTGTTCAAGTATTTTTTTACAAGCTTGTGCTGTAGGCACATGCCTTCTGCTGCAGAAGTGGACACCCGTGGCACACCCACCCCGCCCCAGTGGGGTGCCATGCCTTCCTGGGACATTGCCACTTCTGCCCTGGAACTCATGCAGGTACGTAGTAGCTGCTATTGCCAGAACAGCAAAGCCAAGCAAGAGATGGTCCATGCTTTTCTGACGTTCTCAGAATAGTGGCTAGCCTAAAACCTGACAAGCGCTGCTTGAAGCCGGAACACTGGAGAATGTTGCTGAGAGCAGAAATGGCCACGCGGGTCACGATTATGCTTGGGAAAGTCTCAGGCTTCCCTCCTGCCAGCAACAAGAACGCTTTGGGGTAGGCACGATGTTTTCACGTGTGCGTGCCGTTTCTCCAAGCACTGCAGGTTCCGCCGTGTGCCGGAGGCTACAAGTTTAACATCCTCCTTCCCGAAAACAAATAGGTCCTATGCTGAAAAAAGGGTAAAAAATGAGTATTGATCTTCTCAGCCAGGAGAAGAGTGTGGCGTTTTAACACGACCAACTGCTCGCCGGCATGCTTGGGGTTAATTCAACTCTGCTGCGAACATGACTCCGCCCCTGGCACTGGCCTCCAGCAAGCCTGCTCTTTTTGGGGTACGGGGGAGCAGGATGGTTTAGCCTTTCCTGCTCAGTGTGTAAAAAAATGTAGCGAAAGCCACTATTTTTGCTCTCTTAAGCTGTTCAATAAACTGGTTCCTCGTTTTACATGTGCACGATGTGTATCTTATTTGCTGGATGGCCCAGGAAACTGGAATGGCCCTCTCAGCCAGCCTCAGAGGAAAGAAATCTCTAGCTGGCACAGGCAGCCGAGTGAGGCTGGCGGCTGCTGGGACACAGCCTTTAGAATGAGTCCTTGAGTGCACAGCTCCCAGGGATATATGGGGTAGCGGGAAGGAGGGGACGCTGCGCAGATGCCACTGTTGGCTGGGCTACACCGTGCCACACTTGTTACTGCTTAGGAGGCTTTCTGGAGTGTTCCTCGGGTGCTAAGACAGTCTGCAGCAGACACTGTCCTTTTACTGCTGCTGGTCCTCGTTTGCTCCCCAGTCATGTCAACAGCTGAGGACTGCTCATGCTGCAACAAAAGGCTCTGCAATTGCTGTCTAGCTAGCCCTGGCCGTCTCTAGAGTTCTGCCTGAACTGAAACTCAAGTGGGGTTGAGCTCATGACTTGCGGCAATTGACGAGGAAATCCACCAGTTGCTGTGGCTGGAAGGATTTTCAGTCCTGTGGGTTGTAACCAGAGGCCACAGGTGGATTCTGCCTTAGGCTCATGAGATTTCCGACTTGCTGTTCAAGAAAATGCCTTGTGAAGTGACAACAGTAGCTATGACCCAACTGCCAGGTGCCTTGCTAGTTCCTGTTCGTCCCACTGGATCCTCACAGCCCTGGGAAGCAGGTGCTACTACTCTTATCCCCAGGAGGAGACAGAGGCTGAGAGAGGTTAAGTGACGTGCCCAAGTCACACAGCTTGGCAGCGGCCGGGTCGAGACACCAGCATCAGCAGTCTGTTTGCAGACCCCTCACTGTCACCCCCTGAGCCAGTGCGTCTTGGGCCCTGGGGTCAGGATGTCTCAAGCGTGGAGGCATCACTGGTTTGTGGAAGTCTCTGGAAGGTCCCTGAGCTCTTTGCCCAGAAATGAGTCAGGGGAATCTGTAGAGAGGTGGCCCTGTGTGTGGGGACAGTGTGTGACACAGACACTGCTTTGGAGGGACGCCGCTCCCGTGACCTCCTAGCATCACATCCCAAAGGAACAACTGTTGCAGAGATGGACCTCTGGGCACAAACCCACGTGCGTTTCTCTGGAGACACTGGCCAAGGAAAACAAGACATGCTCGAAGGCCAACCGCTGCATGCCCCACCACGATGTGACCGCGGAGACCTGGGGTGTAGAAGAGTGTCTCTGCTTGGTGGGGGGACACATGCAGGCCAAGGAGAGGCGGGAAGAAGGCAGCCTCCGACTCGCCACTGGACTGCATGGCGACGCTGGTGGGGCAGTCAGCTAAGCCATTTGCGTAAGTGGCCTTCGGGCATCTGCGTGCTGGGGACCGACAGTGGGGGTGTGTTAGGTGGATCTGTATGGAGCACATTGCTGCCGCTGGCTAGGACAGGGTAGAAAGGGGGGCGTGGCTACAGCCTGACCTGTGGGCACCGTCCTACCCTTTATTCTGTGCTTCAAAGTGTCAGTCGTGCTGGTGTCTGTGGGCTCATGACTCAGACGGTGAGCTCTGACCTTCCTGAGCCAGGGCTTTGCTGTGGTTCTGCCTGGCTCAGGAGCTCTAGGACAAGGGGACCGCTCCAGGTCTGCACCTAAGGTGTGGCAGGGCCCCTCAACACTCCTGTGTACTAGTGTTGTCTTTCCCATTGAAATGACTGTGAGGACTAGAATGTGCACATGCAGATGGGCAGCTACTTGTCTGCCTTGGCCCTTTATTACATAACTTGCTGGGTTTGTGGAGATGTCACCCCCCCAGCAGTCAGAGCCCGTTTGTGATGTCGTGGGGCTGGTTACGTGACTGCCAAGGGGTGCTGCTGGCCACACTGCACTAGCAAGTTTGCCAGATGGAGGACAAGCCATCACTGAGTGTGGCTCTCTGTGAAGAAAGAAATTCGAGAGGACAGGGTCATGGCTTGGACAGGGTGCCTTTTCCTCCCCAGTTGCACTCAGAGACCTACCTTCACCCAGCAGATCCTTCCCCTGCCTGGGATGACCCAGTGTCCACTGGGAGCCCTAACTTCAGGCTGCTGACAGAAGAAATCGCTTTCCAAGCTCTGGCCGAGGAGGCTTCGTTCAGAAGGCCGCGCCCTGATGGTGACATCCCGCCCCAGGGAGAAGACAATCTCCTCTCCCTCCCTTTTCCGCAGAAACTGTGGAGACTGGTCAGCAGCAATCAGTTTTCATCCATCTGGTGGGATGAAGGAGGGGCTTCTATAGTGATCAATCAAAAACTCTTTGAAAAGGAGATTCTCGAAAGGGACGTCGCACACAAAGTGTTTGCCACGGATTCAATAAAGAGCTTCTTCCGCCAGCTAAACTTGTATGGCTTCCGAAAACGGCGTCAATGCTCTTTCAGGACCCTCACCCACGTTTTCCCCGCACAAAGGCCAGTCTCCATCTTGAATAAGGTAATGAACCCCCACTCAGGAGGGTTCTCTGGCCTGCTCTTTGGTGAAGTGATGGGTGGAGATGATCTGTTTATGCCACCTTTGAGCATCTGCTCAGCTGCAGCATTGCAGAGAATGGCTGTGGGTCCAAGGCTAGATGCTCCCTGGGGCTGCAGCACCTGTGATTGTAGACTCTGAGCGAAGATGCACACCTTCCCATGGGGCTCCTCCCCAGCCAGAGCTAGACTTTGCAAACCTTTTGTCCTAAAAGATTTATTTTTACAGGGAAGAGGCTGAGCAGACAGCAAGAGATTTGGAGAAGCCATGTGTTTTGAAGTATCCGACATATCAGAGTCCAGATCAGTGATTTTCATATTTTAATCCTCATTCATATGGTCATAAATTTACATTGTATATGTACATTATATATGTTATATGTCATTGTTTATATACATGTTGTAGACATCATATACATTAATGCTTATATGTATATATACATGCTCCTATATTTTATATCATTATAATGATAATGACTGTACTTATATATACTAGATACACAATTCGTTTTTGTAACTTAACTATACATATACACACATATTATTACATACTACTTCATAGTATGGCTGGGTTCACACATACTCTATGTCTATTCCTAGTTCGATTCTTATTATGTCCATTAAAATATTAGTATTTGGAAAGGCGGGTCCTTCCCTACTAAGTTTGGTTTCAGTGGTGTGCAGAACTCTGGAGCCATAGTGTGCTAAAGTCAACTCCAAAATTGTCCTGGTGTCCTGATATTACGCCCAGGCCTACTGAACCAAGCCATATTTGTGGTGTTGCCG